AAACACCCTATTGCAGGAAATCTTGAAAGGTGCATAAAGGACATATCGCTGAAGAACTTGCAAACATCTGAACTTTTCTAGCTTGTTCAGTTCTTATCTGTTGATTAACCCGCCGTTAACGGGCGTGCTAAAAATCCCAACGATCCCAATTTATGAAAGTATTCAAACCGCAAACCAACCCGATTGTAACTCGGTTTAAATGAATAAATTACTAGTACCCTGCAGATTTTTTCGTACTTGAATAAATTGCTTCTAAGCGATTTGGGAGAGAATAGAGCAAACAATTTGGACATCGTTTTATAAAAACGTTTATTCAAATTTGCACTTTTTAAGAAAATATCCGTACTATTTGCGGTCTTAATAAAGATTGCTTCGCTCCAACTTTTTACAAAGAAATCCGTACCATTTTGGTTTTTCTGAGCGCAAAAACAATTTGATTGTAATATTGAGCGCTTCATGAAAGAACATATTGCAATTTGCGCTTCTTACGAAAAAAAGACTGTTCTATTTGCGATCTTCACAAAGATCGCATTGCTCCCGAGTCCCGAGCGAGCGGTTTTTCTGAGCTCGAGCAGACGGACTCACCGGTCAATTAGAATGCGCCTGAAAAGACACTACAACAGTTTTTAGAGACTTTTTTATTGAGTGGAAGTGGATTTCTTGCTTGTCAATTGCTTATATTTGGTTTGGCAAAAAACAGAGAGGAAAGTTGCATCACATTTCGGACAAAAATTCTTCAAAATCTACAAAGCAAACCACGCCAACAATTTTAATGAACAATTGACCGAGGTTTGCGCTCATTGTGAAAGTCGTCGCATCGCTCCGGCTGAAGAGTGAGCGCTGAGCTGAGATCCGGAGCGCAGCCGACACTTTTCCAAGTCCATGTGCACCTTTCTACGTGCCTTTTAACATGCTCAGAACCAATTTGACAATTTGAGTTGAATCAGTTCAACTTTCAAAGTTGGAAAGCGAACATTTCGTCGCCCACCGTGACCATCATCGAGGCATCAATTTATTGTGTTTTTTTTTCGGGAGCAAATTAACAAACATCAAGATCCCGGTTGCTGTTCGCCACCACTCCTCCGAAATCAATAAACAATTGCCGGCGTGCCGATGTACGCTAAGCTTCGTGCGGGCTTGGCAGTCACGATTTTCTAGCGAGTTCTCTATGGACCAATCAGAGCCGGCCTTATGTCATAAGGGACCAATCGCAGAAGTTTGCCATGACATAATCGCCGCAAATAGTCGGCATTGAGTTCGCGAGCACTATCTTCAAGTTTTCTCTGTTAGTCGGTCGCCGATGTTCAATTGTTTTGGACGCTGCGCGCGCGCTTGCGATGAGTATAGTTGTCCGGAACAATTGGCAGTTTGCGAGCGACGGGATTTTTTTTTACGATCAAAGGTGAGTTTTTCATTGGGACCAAAGGGGGGGTTGAACTGACAACCGTTACAAGAGTGTCCCCGACATATAGGTTAAGTATTATCGGGCAAAAAAAGCAATTTTTCAAAACGGATGCTCGCGGAATTGACGCGCTTCATGGACTGGACACTGGACGAAATCCAAATTCTCCCTAAAGCCTCTAAGGATAACTCAAATATACTTTTTATGCTTAAAGTTGCCTTATTGACAGTGGACTCGCTAAAATTCCCGTTTGCAGAACCTAATCTGACAGCTTTGACAGGTGAATGATTATTGAACACTTTAAAATTGAAATCGGTTCTTCTTCATGAGATTGAGCGCTAATGAATGGGCATATAGCAACAACATGGCGCGCGCAGACCAATCACAACGCTTCATTCGAACAAACAATCTGGCCAGAAGTTGAAAAAGTCATCTTAATGAATTGAAAAATATTTGACCGTGAATTCTTGTTATTTAACACCGGTAAGTTAAATTGCCGATTGTGGGCGGACGATAATACATTTTACGATTGTTTATTTACTGTGTATCACATTTTTTCGCTAATTAAACATGGCTGTTGTTGAAAATACCAACTGGCTGTCAATGTTAATGGAAGTTTTTTCTTGCCAACCGGTTTTTATTGCCACATTAAGGCCATTTTGCCAAAGTTCTCTCTCTGGTGGCTGGTCACTAACTGGCGCCGTTTTCGAATAAATTCACTTTGAATGTTTAGCAGCAGACGGCCATGAAAACAAATGCCCCATTTGTCTAATGTTTCAGTGCTGCCGATCCGGGTGGGTGTAAAAGTTGCTTTTTACGCCGACGATCTTTCCTAGAGTGCCATTATTGCTTTGCGCATTATATGTATGTATAAAGTTTTGATCACGCCCCGTAACACAACTAGATTTTTGCATTGAACCGACTGCGCCCTGCCACTATGCACAAGAGCGAGAGCAACAGAGCAGTTACCATGGAAACCGTCACTCTTTTCCCTGCTTGCCTGATATACCACGGCCGATCACAAACTTTTAGAGATACTTCTAAAGTACTCATCGAAACTGTGATCTGTTAGAATTCGTCCTTTCTCGTAGGTTGGTACGAAGTTAATCGGTGACCTATACGGAGCACGCATTTAATCAGATGGGTGACCTTTAGAATGGTGTAAAAACGCTAATAAAGTACAAATTAGCACACACCTGGACAAAATCGAAGCCATTTACTTTCAAGCGCGGTTTCATTCGTATGCATTGAAATGCACTCATTATTTGCATTTCAAACGCGCCCGTAAATGCTCTTTGATGTGCCGAAAAATCCAACGAGCCCAAGTCTGGATAGCGGGGCGTTCCACTCGTTGGTTAAATGCCAGTGAAACTAGGATGCGGCGCCCAATTAGATCGTGGTTTTCGGCCAATAAAATTGGCCAGAGCACGTAATTAATCATGTTCACATAATATATTAGGTGAAAGTCGCATATTAAAAAAGTAAACGTTATATGGATGTCCGTTTTCAACTTTAGGAGGTTAGGCCAGTTAGGCTCCATGTATGACGGGCGGCGACCGTTTCAAATGCGCCCAATTTTTATTGCCCATAACGTTATTTTTAATTTTATTGCCCAATTTAATGGGCATGTTGATCTAATTTTTGTTTAAATTGCTTGTTTGTTGTCGAGCTTTACTGCAAGCAGTCTTTCTATTCAAATTGTGGAAATCATTGGAAACTTTCAGTTTTCAACAAGCCAACCACTTTCTTCTTCAACTAAGCCAAATCTCTGGCAAAATATTCAATTTTCTCCTCTAAGTACTTGCGATGTTTATCAATATTGCTGAACGAACATCCAGATGAGGCTATGGTTAAAAATAGTTTCAAAATACAGTGAAAAGCTAAAACAATTTTGTTGGCAATCTATCGATAATCGATAATCTATCGATAACCGTTATCTGGGTGAAGTTCGAACTTTTCGCCCCAATAAATCGTAATTCTGTAATGTTGTGACGTTCTTATCAGAGATAACTCTTGCTGTAATCGATAATTACTGAGTAAATAACGGTAATAAGTATGCAGACCTACATTAGATCAGCGCTATTTTTAAACTCAGCACTTGCAGAACCCGCCCTAATGTTACTGAAATATGTTTTTCTTGGTTTATTTTAATCGCGGCCCCATACGACATGGTACTAATTTCCAGCTAAAATCGTCCGAAAGAGCCAAAAAACCCATCAAAATCATCAGGGCACAACTCGAAACCCAGTCAGAACGGATTTCTCAACAAATACCACCGAAAAAAAAACCATAAAAAAACGGAAACGCGCCACGTTTTCGTCAATTTAGTGTTCGTATCTTTGTTATTGCTAAAACAGAAACGTATATATGATTAAAATTCAAGGCTAAACAAGCTCGTCCGCTATTTGTATACGAAATTGGGCCGGTCCCACCAAAATGATGGTCAAAAACCATCTGAAAACCAGGGGCGGATCCATGGCAAATATTGCGAAATTGTTTTAGAGCAATAGACGAAACGTTGACAAGATTGCTCAATTTCAACTTATAAATTAATCGACAAACATTTTAAAATCAAAGCTTTTATGGTATAATTCTCAATGTCCCCTTTCTACTTCAAACTTCTCGATCCGTTAGATTTTGAACTACAAGTCATTTTCCAACCGATTGCCCTAAGTATTAATTGAATGAAAACTCACAGAAAATCGACAATTGTTCAGAAAGTTCCTGGGAAGCAGTTGAAACGACACATTCAACACATAGAAGAGAAAAGACCTTCTAGAGCGGTAAGTGATTCTGTAACCAAGTGCTCTCAGTAGGGATTACAAGGAGATTTGGTAAAAGCTCAAAAATGCTCAAAAAGTTTCTGTAAAGGGATTGCAAGCGAAACTTTCAACACATTTGKTGGAAGATGCAACATTTCGATGGCTGAAACTTCCGAACTTTTTGCTCGGTTCGTTTTGAGCGACACGTGATTTTCTGACCAATTGTCTTGGATAGGCATTGCAAGAAAACTCTCGCAAGTTCAAAAAATAGGTCAAAAATTTCTGGAAAGAGATTGAAAACCGAACTTTCAACACATGTGACGCAAAATACCACAGTTTGATGGCTAAAAGTCCGAGACTTTTTGCTCGGTTAGTTTTGGGGCGACACGTGATTTTCTAGCCAAGTGCCTTGAACAGAAATTGCAGGGATACTGGCACAAAGCCAAATATTGCTCAAAAAGTTTCTGTAAAGGGATTGGAAGCGAAACTTTCAAAAGGTTTGATGGAAAATGCCACATTTTGATGTGTAAACTGSGAAACCTTTTGCTATGTAAAAGCTCGTTCACACGTCACATTGTCATTGTCTGAACACCCGAATGTCTCAATGACATAGTGTCGTGAYGTTAGTRTCACATATCAAAATTGTCAGGTTGTCTCGGTRAAATTTTGACATTTCTTGAAGGTTATCAATCTTTGGTGCGATAGTTTCATTTGGTTTGGTTTTAAATCATGTTCCTTTTTCATTTGATTACATTTATGGAGTGTTACCAATCATACCCGTGTCTATGGGACAAATCAATTGCCGATTGTAATGATAGACAAAAACGTGACCAAGCAGAAGAAGCGCTTCTAAATACATATTTTTAAATTTCAAAACATGAAAACGTCAAGAGCTAAAATTAGATATATTCTATAAAATTGCCAAAATCCTATGGGTCTGGTAGTGCCATGACATCGAATGTCGAAAGCTGTTACGGAATTAGATGTCACGACACGATTTCACCGTCTGAACGAGCCTTAACTTTTGAGCGACGCGTGATTTTCTAGCCAAATGTCATGAATTGAAATTACATGAAAATAGATTGGAACCAACACTCCAACACATATAAAGCCAGATATAATATTGGGAGAGCTAAATCCTTCCGATAAGTACCTTTTTCTTTCTTTTTTTTGATAGGCCTGGGTAACTCAATGAATTTTTGGGAGTTGACACAAATGGCTTCTTGATGTGCCAACCCAACGCACCCGCGCAGTAACTCTAAAACTAAAAATGTTGATGACTTTTTTACTTGTTTTTAGATTTATTTTAAGGTCCGTTAGTAGTAATATTTTTAAAATTTCAGAATTTTTCTGTTTTAGCCAAATTACTCTTTCTTCTAAATGCTCAATTTTCTAAAGTTTCACTTAAAAATGCGGAAAATCTTAAGGTATTTTCCGCGAAAAATTATTTATTATTTATTATGAAGTAAATTTTGAATCGTCAGTCGCTTTGTGAAAAATTCTGAAATTCCTTTCCAGCTACCAATTTGGAACAAAAATCAAATAATTTTTCATCAAAAAACTAACAGAATAAGCAAAAGTTTATAACAGATTATTTGGAAATCTCATCACCACCATACCTCTGAAGACTGCAGAGTTTGTTAAAAAAAAGATGGTGTTTAGTTTTGAGTGATTTTTTTTGCTTCACGTTCTACTCAAAAATGCTCTATTTTGTAGTTTCACTTAAAAAGACTGACGATCTGGAGGTCTTTTACGCGAAAAATTACAAGAAAATTTATAGCCGTAAACATTTTACAAAAACTTTTCAACGTCGAATTCGGGACAAAAACGAAAATAAATTTCTCCCGTTTTTTCATCGAAAACCATTAAGGTTTTCTCCAAAATCGATCACAAAACTAAAAGTTTTAAATCGAAAATGCAAAAAATAATTATTTTCTGATGATTTTCTTCTTTTCTGACAACAATGGGGCCTTTTCAGCCAAAAACGACAAAATTAATTTTGCTGGAAAATTCGCCCCATTCATCAGTTTGCAGAAAACTCTAGAAAACCCGAACAGCTTCGAATTTGGCACAAAAACCAAATAATTTTATTCAATTTTTTACCGAAATCAATTAAGATTATCTTGAAAAAACGACCAGAGAACAAAAGTCTCAAAAAATTATTTGGAAAATTCGACGCTCTCAAAGTTCCTTTCAATTTTCAGTTCATTCCAGTTTTAACAAAGTTTCTCTTAAGCAATTCTTTCGACGCAAAAATCGCATTATTTTTTAGTTTTACTTAAAATACTAACAAACCTTCAGTTATTTTCTGTGAAAATTTATAAAACAAATTTTATAGGAACACTCGCCTCTTTAGCCGCTTTGCAAACATTTTTGGAAAACTTTTTGCAGCTTCGAATTATGAACAAAACCCTAATAATTATTTCTGGGTCTTTTTCCAGAAATATTTCCCCGAACTGAAAAAGCGAAAGTTTATAATCATTTATCAGAGTTTCTTCACTTTTAGGTCAATATTTCTAAACAGCACTGTCTCTAAACAGAAAAACCGCGTAACGTTTTACTGTAAAATGCTGGCAAACTGAATCTTTTATGCAAAAAAATTAAGTGATCTATTTTACAAAAAAACTCGTCGACTTTCTCTAGACTCAGTTCTGTTGCTGGGAAAATCTAGATTACTTTTTCTAGTTATTTCAACAAAGTAGTAAAATGTTACTCAGAAAACATGTTGATGACCGTTTTTTAGATGTGAAAATTCCAGTCTTGGGTCTCGTAAAGCTTTAATAAATGACTCATTAACCTCGTTAACTCAGAGATCGGCAACAACTCAATAGCGCAACTCAACACAGTGTTACCCAGGCCTAGTTTTTGAGTAGATAACAAGTGTTTGTCTTGAATAGAAATGGACCAAAATCTCTCGAGAATTTCAATCGGTGCCTTTTGACTCTTCGTTCACCGAGAAATAGTTGGGACTAAGGCACTTTACTCTGTCTATGCGGTTATTGCTTTGAGCTATTTCTTGTTTTGTTTTCTAGATATGTAAACCCTCAAATCACAGTGTACATGGAAGAGACGTTTTTCTATTTCCATTTCCCCTCTGTTGTCATTGGTTTCTTGATCCGTCTACGGAAGCTTTAGTGCACATCCAGAATACGCAGAAAAAGAAAACCAAAAGTTTCAGGGTTGCTGATGTGCGTCTTCCGCTCCGCTCTGTAACATTACTTCAACCGCAACTAACAAGTTGAACAATTAAAACTAATTATTTTTGTCATAAACTTTACGATTCCACAGCGACCTTGCATAAAACACAGCCAATTATGAATTTCATTGCTAATTAGTCATATTCATTACTGAGACACTGCTCGTAGAAATAGTACCTAATTAAATGAACCTTTTTTAGGCTTGCACTGCTCAAAAACTTCATTCTGTTCTATGATTGTTTCAGCTCCAGCCAATCAGCAGCCACCTCCACGGACCAGAGTGATTCCAGTGACCACCAAAAGAGCTAGTTTACTAATAGTGACTCACTAGTGAGACTGCCCTTGAGCTGAAGGGCGCAGATATAAATAGATAGACTTATTGGAAGCAGAAGAAGGCAGGCGAACCTTCTTCGTCCATCCAAGTAAAACAAGCACTGTGATCAAAGTAGTTTGTAAAGCGTAGCCAGTGATACTAATTTTACGATGCACAACCTCAATGTGACGTTAGCTGAGGCGGCAGCCAATGCCGCCAATAGCCTCCTAGTGGAGAGTGGCGGCACCACTCCACGCACCCCCGAAATACTCAACTCACTCATCGCCATGACGAATCCTCTGGATGGATATCACTTTGGAGACGACGCTCCCAAAATCGTATCCGCGGTCCCGCCCACTTCTAGCACGAGCAGCGACTCCAACAGCTCGAGTAGCAGCCAGGTAATGCTACAATCTTCACTAGTTAGAGGCACTTGACAGTAACATCTGTCATCCGTCAATAACTGCAAAAGTCGAAACTTCGCTTTCTTAAGCTTCGGTTGTCATCGCCTCACTGAGGAAATGGTGGTTTTGAGTTGCCTCCTCTTGCAGGTGGAGTCGCCAGTGGGCAACAATCCGCCCTCTGTGCAACATACGTGTTCGCAACTGATCAAGGCCGGCTTGAAGCTGACAATCGAGCAGAAGCGGAAGCACACGAAGAGCGACGAGGACTTCTTGGACCTGGACACGGTCAAGCGGGCGAGAATGCGGAGCGACTGCAGCGAGAGCGAGGAGGACAAGATCAAGCAGGAGCCGAACGGGGTGAGTTTTCTTCGTAACTTGGTTAGGTTTGAACGGATTTGATTGGTGTAAACACCTCTTTCTAGCTGGTTGCACGGCGTTTCATTCAAAGTGCCTACGATTTGACAGCGTAGCTGAGTTTCCATTCAGGCCGTCTATTTGGCAACGATTGGCCAAAACATATCGGATTTCTTGCATATGTGGTTTCCGCTGGCCCGTCGCCAACCCAGCACAATAAAATGTGAATAAATTAAGATTCGGAAACCTGTTTTACATAATATAAATTGTTTGCTGATGCGAACTGAATATTTCGAGTGGATACGAGGGAGTGCTAATATACAGGGTTATTCGCGCTTAAGTGATTGCGTTCGACAATTCCGTTTCAATTGTGCCTAGTATACGAGTTGGACAATTATACTGGGTGCTTCGAAAGTGGCATCATGCCTATGAAGGGATTAGAAGGAGGGTATGAGCAAGAATATTGACTTTTGCATGTAACTTAGACATTGGCTAAATACTCAAACGTTTATTAGGCAACAGTGCCAGTTGAGCGCCCGTACATGTCAAAATGTCTTAGTTTTTTTTGACAGGACGCTCTTCATGCAAAACCCCGTACATATGTCCAACATAAATGGTGTTTTGTAACAGAAAATATGTCGGTTTTGTCGTAACCCTCGTACCCGTTTCGATGTAAACAAAATTAAACTCGGACACCGAATTAGTGGGACGTCGATTTGTTTCCGAAATATTTGTTTTCGAGATTTTACATTTTACGACTTGGAACATCTGGCACTGTTTTCGAAGGTTTCTTCATATGTCCGCTTTGTTCGAAATAGGCGACATGACCCGTGAACGTCGCGATATCGACCATCGGCGGCAATCTGTTAAAGAACTTTACAAAAACACTCTTTTTTTTCGATGACTAGTACAGGGATCTTCGGAACTAGAGCAGTTACGAAGAGGGTCAAATGGATAAAGAATTGTAGTTTTGAATAATCTGCTCGAAACCAATTTTATTTTTCTAAAATTTGACAGCTGTCAAGAGAGATTTGGGAAAAACTTATTTATGGTAAATTTTTGAATGACTCCTAGTTCCGTTCATATTAATTTGACAGGAAAACATAAAATAGAAAACTTGTAGAAAATTGAATTCCAAACAAAATGGCATAAGACATTTCTCAAAAATAACTGTCATTTTTGACATATGACACAAATTTGAGTTCTTTTAAATAGCAACCATACTTGATTTTCTGTGATATATATCTAGGTTTTTTTCGAAAATAAAGTGTTTGCGAACAATTTATATTTCTTCAATTTAGTTAATCGAAGTTAGCCATGGAAAATAGAATAACATACAGCATTGTTTCCATGGTAACAAATAATAACAGTATGTTTCAGTATTTATTTTGACAACTACGTTAAGCTTGGCGATAAATTTATGTTAATTAAGTCGGCTGCTCATTTAAAGTGTTTATTATAAAAATCAAATCATACCAATAATTATTAAAATTTAACTCTAGAAACCATCAGAAAAAAAGTCCGCCATTATGATCAATGCAAACATTGCAACGCTGTAAAACTGAATAAGTTGCTTTTCTTTCGGACCGACCCTAAATATTTTCAAATGCTCTAACAACAGCTTCTTTAAGTGCATTTAAATTGGAATATTTGTTTTTGGAAACTGTGTTTTTTACGGCGCTCCCAAAAAGAAATCCAAAGGTGAAAGATCCGGTGATCGAGGTGGCCATAAAATAGGGCCGTTTCGCCCAATCCAAGCCCCAGAAAAATGTGTAAATCGAGTTTCATCGGTCCACAATATTTTATAAGAGAATTGGATGTCTTGTTGGCATTTGTTTCGGAACCATGTACAAAAATTCCACTCGCAGCTTATGGATGTAAAGTTTGGGGTACTGTTAATTTATATGGATGGAATTTGTGTTTTTTTTAACTCTCATCAGGGTGCTTTGGGAAGTCCCGGATTCTGCTGCGATCTCTCTGGTTGAAATCTGTGGATTCTGGCTCACAATTCATTTATTACTTTATCGTCATTTCTTGGCTGCGTAAAAGTTCCATAAGTGCCCAAATTGTCATATAACGCTCGAATGTTTTCAAGGACAGTTGACGACGGTCAAAATACCTCTCAAAATAGTAATCAGAGGCTCGTCTAGCATTTTTATCACATCTAATGTATGTTTCAATTATGTTCGCGCTTTTCTTGATTGGAATAATTCATTTTTACTATTTAGTAAAACTAAGTGGAATTTAAACTTGAATGTCAAAAATGTCAAAAATTGAAAGATGTTGTTATTATTTGTCTCTATGAAAACATTGCTATGTCTTATACTATTTTCCATGGCTAACTTCGATCAACTAAATTTAAAAAGTAAAAATTGTTTGCAGACACTTTATTTTATGTTTAGAAAAAATCCTAACGGTGTGATATTTGACAGAAATCGTAATAAAATGCTCTATTCGGTAAAGTAATAATCAAGTATGATCCCAGACAGCACAAGACGTCTTCTTTATGCCGTTATTATGTCTGAACGTCGTATGTCTCTTGAAGACGTCTTTAAGACATCTTAAAGATGTCTACTACAAGACGTCTTGTAAATGCCTGGCAACGGACGTCTTCAAGACATCTTAAAGATGTCTGCTGCAATAGTGCGTTTTTATGTCATAATTCGGATACTGATTCCATAGCGGACGACAATGAATTTGAAGGTTATCCTACTTATGATAGTTTTACCAGTAGTAGTAGTAATGGTAGTAGTAACTCATTTCAAACAAAGTTGGCAGAATGGGCAATGAAGCACAACATAGCCCATACTGCTTTAAATGACTTATTAAAACTATTAAAACCTATTTGTTAAGAGTTGTCTTTGGATGCAAGAACCTTCCTTCAAACAGGCAAGTCTGTTGAACTAAAATCAGTGATGCCTGGACACTATTATCATGTTGGGCTAAATAAGTGCCTCAACAGTATTTTTAACAGTTTAGGCCAAAAATCAATTAACACCTTGAATAATTCAGTAGGTCTTATAAATATTGACGGATTGCCATTTGCTAAAAGTTCATCTAGTCAGGTCAACTGAAGTTATCAATAAAGGTTTCTTGTATCAAAATCAACATTTTGCAGTATATATCAAAGCAATTATTTGTGACGCTTCTGCAAAATCATATGTAAAATATATTAAAGGTCATCCTGACTATTCTTCCTGTTCAAAATGTAATGTTGAAGGAAATTACTCTGACAGGGTGGATTTTCCTGACATTCATATCCTACGTATAAGGACAGATTGTGACTTCCGACAAAAAACTGATGACAGCCACTTACTTACTAAAACTACCCAAACTTGACATGATCAAATCTTTTCCGTTAGACCATATGCACTTGGTTTGCTTGGATGTTACTAAAAAACTCTTGTTATTGTGGTGTTGTGGTAAACCTTCAACGAAATTATCTGCTAACGATCTATACAGACGTCTCACATATTTGAATTAGACATCTTAAAGACGTCTTTAAGATATCGTTGTGCTGTTTGGGGTTCCATTTAAAAAAACTCAAATTTGTGTCATATGTCAAAAATGACAGTTATTTCGGAGAAATGTCTAGTGCTATTTTGTTTAGAATTCAATTTCCTACAAGTTTTCTATTTAATGTTTTCCTGTCAAATTAATGTGAACGGAACTAGGCGTAATTTAAAAATTTATCGGAAGTAAGTTTTTCCCAAATACCTCTTGACAGCTGTAAAATTTTAGAAAAATAAATTGGTTTCGAGAAGAGCATTCAAAACTACAATTCTTTGTCCATTTAACCTTTTCGTAACTGCTATAGTTTCGAAGATCCCTGTACTGGTCATCGAAAAAACTCACCCTGTATATCGAGTATATCGAATAGATTTGGATTAGCAGCGCATTCATCTTAAGGAAAATGCGTCCCCTCTGAACCCACTTGAAAAAGCTTGATAAAAAAGCAAGTCCCCAATCAAAGAATTGACCCTTTTGGATTTTTTTCTCTAGCATCGCATACCACCAACTCGTCGTACTTCTAATAAAAACATTTATTTGTCGATTTGCAGCTGACACCCGAAGACGAGGAGCGTAGACGGCGCCGACGCGAACGAAACAAAATCGCAGCGACCAAATGCCGGTTGAAGAAGCGCGAGCGTACCGCCAACTTGATCCACGAAGCGGAAACGCTCGAAACGCAAAACGTCGACTTGAAGAATCAGCTGCAGGAGCTGAAGATTCAGGAGCGGAAGCTGATGGATGTGCTGAACGTGCACAGGTAGGGTACCGTCATGAGGGCAATTTTCACGGTTAGCTGATGCTGAGCGTTTTGACAGGCCAATCTGTCAACACAGTATCGGCCCGGCCACGAAGGAGAGTCTGTATAAATTGCCCCCGGTGACGTCAGTGATTGACCCCTACACCCGAACGCCCACCACCTCGTCGTCCATGTACAGGAATCAAAACCAAGAGGTACTTATTGATTCTTCGCTACTCTTCAACTGGCTAACTGAGGTTTTGTCTTTTCAGATTTACTCCAGGTCTTCTTACCACTTTTCCTCCTCTGCCTCAAAGGCGCCGTGTATAGTGGTGGAAGAGGTGGACGAATATGACGACACGCAGCAGTTTATAAACCTGAGGGACGTCATCAATCCCTCCCCCTACTACAATCCCCCCACATCCTGCCATAGTTATTCGTCCAATCAGAATTACGGCAACGGTTGTATGGCCTAGCTGTTGGTCTTCCTTTTTCTTCGCGCCCACAAAGAGCGACACGAAAGAGGAAGATTTAGAGTTACGCAAATTGTCCATCAGGTTCCTCTTTAATTTATGTAAAATTCGATATTGCTTCGAATCAAAAGACATGTTTTTCTAGTTCAAAGGGGAGTCAGTGACGCGACTTGGCAGCGGATGGTTGTGTTTTAAGTCAACGGGATTTCACTCTCTAGTTTTCCTTATAATAATTATTCAGTTTTGCCTACAACCGTTTTCCTCGATTACGGTCGAAAATCCAGTCATCAGTCAATAAATCTGGTCAAAATTACCGACTGCTGCAATCTCCTCAGTCATGGACAGGGGGCGCTTACAATTCTTGACAAACCATGCTTCCTTAACTTAGATTAAGAACTATTCTAGTACTTCGTAGGTGTTCATGCTATCACTATGTATTTTAATATATTTCTAGGTTTTCTACGAAGGATGTTTTAACAAAACAAGCACCAAGTTTTCGTCTTTAACTTTGTTACCGTATTTTTAAAGATCTGAGTTTATTAACGCGTTACGATTTTACATCACGGACTACGACTGCAAGTCTTGTAATTGGTAAACTTTTGAAATACGCATGCGAGCAGTCCGTGCCAGATATATATTGTTTGTATTGTTGACTAATATAGTTGTTCGCCAATTAAGCATTCCAGTAAAAAACTAGAAGGCAAATCGGTTTTTTACATTTTCTATATTTTTGTACTGCGCGCTATTTACAGCCGATTTGTACATTTCGACGTTATACTATTTATTATTATTATTATTATTATTGTTAGTGTACAATTATTTTTCTACTTATCTTTATCTGCTTAAGTTTAGGCGATTTTGTACTTCGCGGTCTTTGATTGGGACTGTTTGTTTTTCGGTTGGTTCCACTAGCTTGGGCCAATTATTTCAGTATAATTTGCGCTTTAAGCTCTATAGGCTTCCATTTAGTTGTACGGGGCGTAGTACAAAAGTGGCTGTAACGGCGCCGGTTTTTTCGTTTCCAGGGCCCACTTAGTTCAAAACCAGTACGAGGATTTTTTACTAAAACAGCCACTTTTCTATTACGCGCTTTAAAACAGTTTAATTTTTTGCGCAAAAAAATTAACTTAGTTTTTGGAAACTTGCACAAGGCCAGAACTATTAAAGTTGTCGATTTTGTGATAAAAAAACCATTATACTTTATTAAAAATTGTTTCACAGTGCCATCACTTTTTTGTATAGTTTTATCGACTTTCTATGCAATTATGCTGCTTTGTTTCTATTCTTTTACTCATTTGATTTTTACTTTTATGAAAAAGTGCGACTTTTTGCTAACGCCAGTTACCTGTAGCACAATAATTACGGGTTCTAATTCAAAGTGGTCACCTAGTGCCTTGACAGATTAACAGAGTTTACACAATGATTCTATTTTGAAAAGATCGTATGTATTTTGAAAAAGTATATCTATTTTATATTGAAATAAAATGCAATTTCATTTAGTTTGTCGTTTTATTTCGGCGAAACGAATGCTGATCATTAACTGGAACGTTTGTTAAGTTGCTAAGCAAGTAGTCGAAGGTTTCCTTAAGGATAATTGAGAAAAAGTTATTTTAAGGAACAGTTTAGACGCGGTGCTTGCTAATCATAACATTAGAAAATCGCACTTTTCTTAAATAAAACTGCACGAAAGTTTTGTTAAATTGCCTCTAAAATTTATAGCAATAATTTTTTGTTTTCTCCTTATAAAACTTCACTGGGCATCACACTTATTTTTAGCAAGGGCGCAGGAAGCTCCCAGCAAACTACAGAAGAACTAACTTCCTAAATGCCGAATGTAATTAATTGCCTCATTTAGCTTGTTGAAGAAGCCGTTCTAGTAATTGGATAAATAATTACAAATTCGGCCGGCGTACTTGTGTTTTGAAGACTTGGCAACGCGTTCAGTCGCATTCTATTGTACTTGGGTATGCGGTAAATTCGAGGCCGGACCCTTGTGCTGGGTTTATGTCGACAAACGATAATTTTTCTAATTTCAGACAACAGAAGAGAGAAGAAATATATTTTCTACTACATAACCCGCCCCTGACTTGAAAGCTGGATCCGGCAATGCTCAATGTATGATATTCAAATTTCGCTTTCTGGGACAAAACTACTCGAATTTCATTCTCATCTTCTTCTTCTCTCTCACTCATGTTTTTATGACTGAAGCGAGTTTTCAATTTTTTACCCCATTTTAAGACGATTTCTTCCTTATTTTAAATTCAAACACTATATGTGCATATTCGCGCGCTTCTTAGGTCGGAAACTGTCCATTGAGATCAAAAATCACGCATGCGAAATTTTTATTTTTGACCGAAAATTTCATAGGGGTGGAGGTCGATTTTTTTGAAAAAATTTCAATTATCTCAAAATGCCTCGAATTCTACATCATTGTCATCGGAAAGAGACAAGGAATGCAAAGACCCCATTAAAAGACACCGCGGCCTTTCCAGTTCCCAAGTAATCAACATTTTCTGCCTACTTTGAACGGTTTTTGAGCGGTCACAATCTGTAAGGGACGATTTCGTCCTTATCATAATCCCTAAAATTTTACATTCGCACATTGGGGAGATTGTTTTTCCTTTTTTGTTGAAAAAATCTCAATTGTCTCAAAACGCGTCTAGTTCTACATCCTTTTTATCTCAAGAAAGTCAAGAATTCAAATAGCTCATTAAAAATCACGCTAGAAGCCAGGTCAGTTCCAAAATAATCGAATTTTTGCCAAATTTTAAGACGATTTTAAATTCAAACACTATATTACCAGCTTTTTAGGTCGGAAACTGTCCATTGAGGTAAAAAAAGACGCTTGTAAAATTTTGATTTTTGACCGAAAATTTCATGAGGGTGGAGGTTTTTTTTGAAAAAATATCAATTATCTCAAAATACCTCGAATTCTACATCATTTTCATCTGAAAGAAACAAGGAATGAAATGAGCTAATTAAAAAACACCGTGGCCTTTCTAGTTCCCAAATAATCAACATTTTTTGTCTATTTTGAACGGTTTTTGAGCGGTCGCAATCTTTAGCGGACGATATCTTCCTTATTATTGACCCACAAACTTCGTATTAGTTATCGGGCAGCTTCTTAGGTCGGACACAATCCAATGAGGCCAAAAAATACGATTGTGAAGTTTATATTTTTGATCGAAAATTTCATAAGGGGTCGAAAAAAAATCAAGTTTTTTAAAATACCTCGAATTCTATATCATTTTCATAGGAAAGAGAAAAGGAATGCAACGAGCTAATTAAAAGACACCGCGGCTTTTCCAGTTCCCAAATAATCACATTTTCTGTCTATTTTGAACGCTTTTTGAGCGGTTACAATGTAAGGGACGATTTCTTCCTATAATCCCTAAAATTTTACATTCGTACATGGGGGAGATTTCTTTCCTTTTTGTTGACAAAATCTCAATTATCTCAAAACACGTCTAGTTCTACATCGTTCTACATCTGTTTTTATCTCAAGAAAGTCAAGAATTCAACGAGCTCTTGCTAATTAAAAATTACGCTAAAAGCCTCAGGTCATTTTAAGACAATTTATTCCTTATTTTAATATCAAACACTATATGTGCACATTGGCGAGGTTCTTAGGTCGGAAACTGTCCATTGAGGTAAAAAAACACGCTTGTGAAATTTTGATTTTTGACCGTAAATTTCATAAGAGTGGAGGTCGGTTTTTTTGAAAAAATATCAATTGCCTCAAAATACCTCGAATTTTACATCATTTTCATCTGAAAGAGACAAGGAATGCAACGAGCTAATTAAAAGACACTGCGGTCTTTCCAGTTCCCAAATAATCAAGATTTCTATTTTGAACGATTTTTGAGAGGTCACAATCTGTAAGGGACGATTTCTTCTTATAATCCCTAAAATTTTTCATTTGTACATTGGGGAGATTGTTTGAAAAAATCTCAATTGTCTTAAGACGCGTCTAGTTCTGCATCCTTTTTATCTGAAGAAAGTTAAGAATTCAACGAGCTGATTAAAAATCACGCTAGAAGCCTCAGGTCCAATATAATCGATTTTTTTTTACTTTATATGTGCAATTGGCGAGCTTCTTAGGTCGGAAACTGTCCGTTGAGGTCAAAAAACACGCATGCGAAATTTTGATTTTTGACTTTGAAAATTCAAAAAGATGTACAATCCTTTTGAAATTCCTCCTCATTGAAAATCACTTATGACTGAATCGAGTTTTCAATTCTCTACCCAACGATGCCATAACAAATTCTGTGGCTCAAATGATCCTTGAGAAACTTCGAAAAAGGCAGCGTCATGTTTGAGTCGATTTTACAACTCAAGATAAAAACACGCAAATCTAAAACTTCTTGAAATCAAGACTTTTTCGAGAAAACTGCCAACATTTCCTTATCGATGGTTCGCTTTCTAAAAAGGCCATTTAGTTGCCTCTGGAATAATGTAAAAAATCAGCGTTCTCGGTCATTTTGCTTCCGAGAAATGAGCAAAAACGGGGTAGAAAACAGAAAATGTTGTCATAATCTTGCACCTAAATGTCTGATATTCAAATTTCGCTTTCTGAGTTACAACTACTCGAATTTGCTCGCTAATGTTGTTATGACTGAATCGAATTTTCAATTCTCTACCCATGGCAAAACGAATTACGTGGCTCAAATGTTTGTTTGAGTCGATTTTGCCACTCAAAAGACAAACACTCAAATCTAAAACTTCTTGACATTAAGACTTTTGAGAAAACTGCTAACATCTTCTTATCGATGGTGTACTTTCTAAAAAGGCCATTTAGTTCACTCTGGAACGATGTAAAAATGAGCGTTCTTGCGCATTTTTCTTCGGAAAAATGACCAAAAACAGGACGGAAAACATGAAGTATTGGCATAATCTTGTCGAATGATTCCTTTTATCCTCATTTCCCATGTATCATCTTAGCTACAGATCTTCAAAACTTTAGCCGCTTGTTAATTATTGGCGTCTATTAATAACCGAACTGCGAACTGATGTCAAATTTCCATTATCTAACATGCCTACTGATGAAACCTATTTATGAATCCTCTTCGCGTGTAAATCGACATAAAAATTGTTTTCATCAAAACTAATCTAGCGATTTGTAGTCGAAGCCCACGAGAAGTGTATACTTAATTGATAATTAGCGGAATCTAACATTTTAAAGATATTTCAAGTTCGCTTTTGTCAGTTAGTTCCATCCATTGTTAGTAACCGGTTCAACTGTTAAGTAAAACATGTTAGGGGCTCAAGCGGTTCTATGGGCGCTGGTTGCATTGGTTTCGTACCTACTGATTCAGGGCTTCCGATTCCGAAAGGTTCTGAGCCACATTCCTTCTCCACCCGGTCATTGGTTGATAGGAAATTTAGAATTTCTCATGAGAAATCCATATCCCGGTAAGATTTTTGAGTATCTTCGAGACTGTGCGCAAAGATATGGGCCGATTTATCGGTTCTCTACTCTGCACATCGTGGTGATCAACTTGCTCCATCCTGATGACATGGAGGTACAAAAAACGTCTCCTTCATTAATGATTTATAATATTGCCCTCCTTGATATGCCTTCAGTTGGTTCTCTCCCAAATGAAACATATGAAGAAAAGCCGCCTTTACAAGTTCCTAGGCAGGTGGCTGGGGGAAGGTTTGCTCACTAGCTCAGGCCAGAAATGGCAAAAAAGGCGTAAACTGCTTACCCCCGCTTTTCACTTCAACGTCCTCCAAAAATTCCTGGATATTTTCAACGAGGAGACCAGCAATATGGTGAAACAGATCGAAGAAATGAACGCGCAGAGCCTTGGTGGGAAGCCGTTGATCAACTTGATGCCCATAGTCACTAACCTGACCCTTCAATCGATAACCGGTAGATAGCAGGGGGTAATTTAGCGCCAAAAGTAACTGAATGAACGCTTCTAGAAACCGCATTGGGGGTTAGCAGTGTGGAGGAGGATACTATGAAGAGTTACAGAAGCAACATCCACAAAATGGGCCAGTTTGTCTTCGGCCGGGTGACTAAACCTTGGAGCCTGATCCCTCTGGTCTACTCCCTGTCTAATGACTATGAAAAGGAGTCAGAGACCATCCACAGCCTGCACCAGTTCACCTACAGAGTGATGAAGGAAAGGGAGAAGCAGCTGGTAGATGGACGCGATGAACAAGTGGTGTCCACCACATACTCGGGCAGAAAGATTATGAAGATGCTGGACTTGCTGCTGTACGCCAAAATCAACGAAGGCACCATTGACTATGAAGGAATTCGTGAAGAAGTTGACACGTTTATGTTTGAGGTATATTTGCGGTGAAAAGAGGTTGAAGGCGACTTCTGTGTGCTTTTACAGGGTCACGATACAACGGCAGCAGCCATTACTTTCCTGTTGTATGCGCTGGCTGAACATCCGGATATTCAGGTAAGAACACAAATTTTTCGCGAGTTACTAACACGGAAAGTACTACGTGTTATTGTTATTACGAAATATCATGGTTCAGGGCAAAAATTGACTTAAAGGTTTAAACGAACAAACTCTTTCCAAAAACCTTTCAGTTCCATTTAATAGTATTTCATACCACTGAACGCGCGCGTCTCTAAATATGTATATCGTGTTACATGCGTATGTATGCTACTCGTTGAAGAAATCATGTAAGTAATCAACAATTTTCAATGACTACGATTACAAATTAGTCAAACTCACAAAGACAAAACAATCTGCATTATCAAACAACATCTGCATATTAATACGCTGTGGCACTTTATCCGGTTTCTTTTAAATGTTGCGAAGCGGAGCGGACTACGGCCACCACAATCTCCCGATTTAACACTTTTTAGGTTTTCTTTGCCATCATTTATGTTGCATATTTAAAAAATCGCTTTAACATACAGGGTGGTTTTTTAGTGCGAGAGAGTCTATTATTTCCGTTGGTGTTGAACGTTCGAAAAATAGTTTCATATAAAAGTGGTTGACGCACAAAGTGCGCATATTTTAAAAATATTTCATATGATACAGAGTGTCTCAGAAAAGCGAGGCAATGTTAAAGTGCATTTTTTTAAATAGAACCATYCATTTTTCATTAGCTCATGGAATGCAGCTTGAAACGCTGCATATGCACCGTAAATTGTTTTTTTCTTACTTGCGACGTTGGCAGATTATCGCCGTTTTCATTATCATTCATTATAGAAKSAAGATTATAGAAAGCARTTAAACATACAAAAAATACGTCTTKCCAATCCCCATAGATCCGTTAAGAATTCTATTGAACCAACATATCAATACAATGTACAATATTGTACAGGGTGTTAACAATGTGGACTTAAATCTAAAACTTTTTAAAGCAATATAACTTTCGTTTTTCAAATGGAAGTACCTGTATATTAATGCGTCATTAGGTAGACAATTTACAATGTTACAAATTTGCATTTACACTAAGCTGTGAAATCAACCGTTTTCAAATTATAATTTATTGTAAGGTGGCTATGGAATTCAATAAATAAGTGTCAAAATTTGTTGGACTTTGATCTTGCCTCGCTTTTCTGAGACACTCTGTATCATATAAAAAAATTACCAACGGAAATAATGGACGCTCTCGCACTAAAAAACCACCCTGTAGATTAGCAGAACCCCGACTAAATAATTATTTTTAGTAAATAGTTGCTTAGAACATGCTTGAAGAATTATTAACACTCACCTCTTTCGTCGCTTTGTAAAAAAAGATTTTTGATAAAAAACCATTTTTTTTTTAGTTTTGACTAATTTTTTTTGCTTTGCTTTCTACTCAAAAACGCTCTATTTTGTAGACTTTTACTTAAAAATATTGACGTTCTGGAGGTCTTCAACTCTAAAAATAACAAGATAAATCTATAGCTTTGTAGGAATTTTACAAAAACTTTTTTCAGCGTCGAATTCGGGACAAAACCGAAAATAAATTTCTCCCGAAATAATTTTCTCAAAAACCGATCACAAAACTAAAAATTGTTAATAAAAAACGCAAGAAAAACATTATTTCCTAACGCTTTTCTTCTTTTCTTACAATAATGGGGTCTTTTCAGCCAAAAATTACAAAATTAATTTTGCTAGAATCATCATCAGTCATTCATCGGTGCAGGGAACTTAAGGAAACCCCTTTCAGCTTCGAATTTGGCGCAGAAATCAAATAATTTTATTCAGTTTTTTACCGAAAGCAATTAAGATTATCTTGGAAAAACAGCCAGAGAGCAAGTTTCCAAAAAATTATTTGGAAAATTCGCCACCCTCATTGCTCTGAAGATATTTCCAGTCATTCAGTTTTAGTAAAGTTTCCATTATGAAATTCTTGATACGCCAAAAATATATTATTTTTAGTTCTACTTAAACTACTGACAATCTTCAGGTATTTTCTATAAAAATTGTAAAATACATTTTATTGAAACGCGACTCCTGAACGGCTTTGTAAATTTTTTTTGGAACCTTTTGCTGCTTCAAATTTTGGACAAACCCTATTCATTTTTCGTGGATTTTTTCCCAAAAATATTTCCCCGAACAGAACAAGTGAAGTTTTTAATCAATAATTCGAAAAATTTGTCACTTTTGTCGCTGTGAATAATTTGGTTTATTTAAATTCCGGTTTCTTCACTTTTAGGTCAATATTTCTAAACAAAACTCTCTCTAAACAGAACAACGCGTTTTTTTCTGTAACTGTAAAATACTGGCAAACTGAGAGTCTTTTATGCAAAAAAGTTAAAGGTTGGATTTTACAAGAAAATTCGTCGTCTTTACAGTTTGGTCTTCTATATCGTTTTTTTCGAATACCCATTTTACCTTTGAATTTGGGACAAAATCGAAACAAAGTAATCCTGTTTTTTTCGACAAAATTTAGGTTTCCTCAAAAAACGACCAGAGAAAGCAAAAGCATATAATCAAAATATGAAAAACTAGTCACCCTCATGGCTCTGAAAAAAAATTAAGTTTTTTAAAAATTTCCGGATTTGCGCGTTTTAGACCAAATAGTTTCAAGCAATCGTATGCGCAAACGCAATATAATAATGGCTTTTTTTGTTAGGTGTCAAAATTCCGTCATCGGCCATGAGTTATAACTCATTAACAAATGAGTTAAAACTCATTAACTCAGAGACCGGCAACAACTCAAAAGCGCAACTCACTATACTTGTTTAAGCTTCGGATAAACACTGTTTTGCCAGAGTTTTGCGGCAGTTTCAACAAAAACTGGCCACAAACTAATTGAACCGTCACACCAACAATAACCAACCAATTTAGAGGAAGAGCCGCAAAATACATCATGGCGCCAATAAAACCCTTATGAAGTGACGTAGTCGAGTGCTCATTGTTTAAGCTCCAATTATTTAAATTCCGTAATCTTAGTTGATTAATTTAATTATCAAAATTAATCTCAATTTAATTCAGGAAAATGTGCGCAAAGAAATCCAGTCCAACATCACGCCAACTCGGACACCGACCTACCACGACCTGCAAGACCTGCCCTATACAGAAAGGGTGATCAAAGAGAGCCTGCGGCTTTACCCCAGCGTGCCTCTAATAACCAGAGAGGCAAGTGAGGACTTTCTATCTCATACAGGCAGCAAGATCCCCAAAGGAACCGTTTTGTACCTGCACATATTTGATCTGCACCGGAACCCGGATATATATCCAGATCCGCAGCGATTCGACCCTGACAGATTTCTACCGGAAAACTGCGCCAACCGACACCCTTTTGCCTACTTACCTTTCAGCGCTGGACCGAGAAATTGCATAGGTGAGAGGTTTAATCAGTGGGTGGCATTGGGCGGAAGCTCTAAAATTAGTTTTTCAGGGCAAAAATTTGCCATCTTGGAAATCAAAGCGGTCATTGTGGGCCTCCTGAGGAAGTTCCGGCTGGAGCCCTCAGGCTGTGCGCCGCCCAGCTTTTTCGTGGACTTAATCCTGCGACCAGAGGGGCCCATCAACGTTAAATTCGTCCCAATATAAGAGCGCAATAATAGAGCAGCCAAAACATCTGAGGATTTATTTATTGTTCAACAATTGCTATATTATCTAATAGCGTTTACATAATATTATCTTCTAAAGTAACAGACTAAAATCATTTTACAAATAGTTATGTACATTCAGCATCTTCTGCTAGGTTAGCTCTAACTCTGGAGGAACAACACTGTACAGACATTTAAAAGTTAAATGCGTCGTCGGGTAGATGGGAGGCAAGGATCATCACAATGGGGGAGAAGCAGAGGACTTGGAACAGTTAACAATAAAGGCCATCTAGATGCAGGGCAGCGGCAAAGTGTTGAGAGCATTTACTAGATAAGCGCTAGACCCACTAACTTGACTATGGTTTCGCACACGCCCGCCTGCTGTGTACGTACACAAAAAACGCGACGTTTCGGCTTAGTTATTTCGTCCCCTTCAGAACTTTTATGACCAATTCCCCACCAAGACGAGCAGAAGAAAATTGTTATGCACAAAAAAGTAGCTCGAGATTAATTCTAAGCCTACTAAGTGAATTTTAAGTGAAAACAAATTTCATTTAGTCTAGAATATGACTGTCAAAGTCTTTGACAGTTAATTAGAGTTGGTTAGTTTAGTGTCATTGCGACAAGAGTGGAAGGAGTATTTTAAATGTGTTCTTCGGAAAAATTAGTGATTTTTTACAAAAAAACTTGATGGAATACCACAGGAAGTTAAGTTGGTGAGTCAAAAAGTACCCTTGTTCACAATTAAGGTCTACCAACTATTTGCTTATAAAGCTTCTGATAAACTTGCAAATTAACAACAGTTGATATATTCGAGTTTTCTTCACTATCATTACAGTGTGTATCTGTATGCAGTGAATTACCACAAATTGTCTACAACCTAAAACACTTAAGTATCATGCATTCTCTGATAAAATAGGAACAAACACTAGCCGGAGTTAATGCGCGTCTTGAAATCTATGGAGAACGAAACGGCGCGCAAACTCTCTGAATGTTAGTGTAAATTAAAAAAAAACAAGAAAATTAAATAACAGACGTCGGATCATTGGCTTAAAATAGAGAAAAATAGTTATATAAAATAAATAATGTTACACTAGAAAAATAATTCAGTCACTATGCGTCTTTTAACATCACATTCGCGATCTACAACATATAAAGTAGTTAGGTTTCCCACTTAAATCACATCAAATTACAGTTAAAGGTTTTGAAATCCCTTTGTCTTAAATTACATTCAGCTAGGATTTATTGTCGCCACCTAGAAGAAAACAGAAAAATGTTACTTGCTGTCCAAACTTCGGAATAAAATTTCAGAAATAGAAAACCGAATTAGTTATAACTGCTCTGGCGTTCTAAAGCTGATAGAGAAAACTCAGAGTTTAAGAAGCAGAAAAACATCCCCTCACTGACGAATCAGCGACCCGACACCACAAATCCCCCCATTTTCCAGCCCCAACTTACATGTACCAACCGGTTTCGAGGAACCAAAAACTGTCCTATCGTCCGCCCAATTACTACCAATCAATCAGCCATTATCAAATCAACTTACAAGTATCTTCCGTGGACTGAGATCGACTATCCTCGCTCCTATCCCGTTCTTCATTGTTGTTGGCGGCCTCTACCGCTTCCTGGTTGAGGCCGAGCGCCATCTGAAAAGCTACTCATTGAGCAACCAATCATCGTCTCACCATCAACTTCACCTACCTCTAAATCTTCTAGGATGTCGGTTTCTTTGGGATCGATCAGGGTGAATCGATGGTGCAACGCCATCAAATGGGCAAAGGTGAGATTGAGGTGGGAGTGAAGCCCCAGCAGTAGCACCTCTTTGAAATGGGCCGCGTACAAATGAGCCACCACGTGATAGAGCAATCGCACTATTTTACGCACGATTGACTCGAAAGAAACTGGAAACTCATTTGCTGGAATGGAAGATGAAGTTGAATCAATTGCGGCAGCTCTTCATTGAAATGGGGGGTGTTTTAGATAAATGGGGGACGATATTGAGGGGTTAGATAGAAGAGTTAGGAACGAGGCCCAACACAAATGGTTAAGCAAAAGATATCAGAGACGAATATTAGACCGTTAAGAGGACAGAAAAATATTGAATCAATCTGTAAATTAAGGTGGCTTACCGTATTTGGTGGGGAAAATCGTTTCATCACTGATGGTCTTCTGAATGAAAGTCATCACGTAGTCAATATACTGGGGAGCGGCCACTTTGGTCTTTTTGCCCTTCTCATCGAACCACAAGTAGGTCCTAAAGTAAAACGGTTTAAGATGATGAATGAATGAATGGTAAAGATGGGAATGGATCGTGGCGGTTGGAAACTTGCCTTTGCCCTGGTCCTGTCATGTCCGGGCAACTGGTCGCTGTACAGAATTCACTAATTGCTCCATAGACTAGATTGACGTGATCGAAGAGAGACATTGCTGGAAACAGTCATGCTTACAGAGTGGGTGGGTTTGGGAGAATTAAAAAATATTTTTTCTAATTTCCGACTAAAGATTTGGCTGATTTTAGTAATTTTTTTCAAGTTATAACTCTTTTCTGAAACATAAATATTATCTTGACTAACTTCAGGAAAAGTAACAAGATTCATAAACTTATTTCTATTGTACAAGGCCTAGTTTGGACGCCCCGATCTCCTGACTTAACACTCAAGAACCTGCTACTTGTAGAGGAAACAGAATGAGAAATGGAAACACCCAATTTTGAGGTGCTATAAAATCATTCTTTCATTGCTGATTAAGCCATTAAATCCTCATTGAGAATAATCGATTTTTAGTAACTCGATTAATCACTTGCGATAGATCATGAACCGTAAACACCGTCAATTAATATCCATATAATAAGCCTTCGTTACCACATAAGTGTCAAACTGTTTATGTTGAAAATATATATAGAATAGAAATATTTTCCAGAAGCGGTGGCGAATTAATAAAAATAACTCGGGCACTGTTTCTATGGAAAATCATCAGCGCTATACTTGAGAATAGGCTGTTTTCTAAACTTTGAACCAATGTTCAGTTAGATTGATTGTTCTGCGCGTTTCAAGGCCTGCCAAATTTCACTTCAGCTTGCCAAAAAAGTTCATTACAAAATCATTTCTAGGTTGCTTACTGTTTGATTTAAGGCTAAAGTGAATACCAACTTGGTCAACGCATCGTCAGTTTTTAAGAAAACTTTCAACACCCCGAATGTGGGAAAACGGATCAATAGGGTATTTTCACTTTTTTTTAAATGCTGATATATAGATTTAAATGCTGATAAGTAGTTATGGCAAACATTACACTAATATTTTTTTTCAAAAAAAGTCTCCATAATAATTTTAAAGCGAATTTAAATTCAAATCAGATATTTTCCGCCAAAAACGCCGAGTTCGTATCGTCGGTTGCCTATCCCGATTGTGACGTAGCAGGTCATATCAACAAAGTGTCTCGTGTTTAATTTGTTGCTTTCGCAGCTTTGTTTTATTATTTAAGTTATTTTGATTAGCATTATTTTATTGATTATTATTATTATCTTGCATAATGGAAAATAGTGACATGTATGGATCACAAAATAAGTGATGTTTTGTGCCAGGATGCAAGAACATCTCAATAAGTGCTCCAAACAAACTCTTTCTAACCGTTCCTCATGATTATGCACGTAAAGTTTTATGGTTCAAAGCAGCTAGACGTGATGTTCCTAAATCAACATCAAAGTTTTTTTGTTGCGAGGATCATTTTAACGAAAGTGCGAACAAAAAGCTAATGATAAGGCAGATAGAATATGCCTTCGATCGTACTTGGTTTTCTGGGCAAATTCTACCTTGTACAATGCACAAAGAACCCTCGCGTTTCAATTCCACATATCCGATATCACCATATTGTTCTCGTGATGCCCAAAATACAAATTAAATGTCGTAATGATTAAAAATCGTGATGCCCAAAATAAAAAAAGTGAAATTCTATATATTAATTTAAACCAATACAGACAGATTAGTATATTAAGGAGAGAGTAACTTATAATGAATTTACGGATTTTTACTTACGCTGCTGCTTTGACACCCTTAAATTCCGCTGAAATAAAGCGTTCGTCGTTTTTTAAAACTTCGGTAACGATAAAAATATGTACACATGGTAAATTGTTTGTTGACGCTTTAAGGAATCCTGAAGCGATTTTCTAGTTTAACACAAACTATAAATTATTTAAATCCACAAAATAATTAATGAAACACAACCACACAACTAAACACTATGCACAGAACGTAAACAATCCGCCATTTATATGACCAGATACGTCACAACCAATAGGATTGCGTTTTAGAGATTCATGAAATATATATATATATATTACCATATATTAATGTTCAGTTTGTAGGAATTCTTGATACAATAAAAACATCCTATTGCGGACATTCGAATCATACACAAACGCCTTATTTTTTCATGCAGAATTACCCCCAGAAATTTGTCGCACTTATTTACTAACACCATGTATATCTGTACATGTCAACTTGTATAATTCTGTAAATACTTACTGTGCGATGCCAGCCACTCATTATAGTCTAAACCAGCCGGCAAGTCGACAAGAATCTTCAGGTCCATCTCAGGCAACTTGCGCTCCAACACTTTACTTTCCAGGTAGAGCTTGGAATCAGTGGATGAGGACGAATCGGCACCCTCTTTCTCTTTACGCCTGGTTTTTCTGCAAGAAAAACGCCATAATTTGTAAACAAACGCCAAAACTAAATTTCAAAGTTTTTAGGCCGGATTTCCAGTAATTAATACACTCATGATTTCAACATTGTTGTTGTTGTTGTTGTTACCTGCAAAAGCAGGTAGTCAAAGACTGTTCATTTAGAACGAGAACTTTGGCATTATCCAGTTTCGATTTGCCGGAAATCGCCCTCGACAGCCACATTATCCCCCCGATAGCGTTAACACTGTCATGATTTGCCTGGCGAAATCACAAAGGTTGAACTTGATAAATAAAAATTGAAGTTAATTAAAGGCTAAAGGAGAAGCCTCGTAAAATTAACGAGACTGCCTGTTATTGGATTTCGAGGCGTGGGTTTTCCAACATTAAACTCGATTAAAGGAACTAATTTGGTGCCAGTGTGAAGAACATTAGGGCCGTATTGGACTGGAAATGTTACAACTGAATGAGCTTTGATTACAGTAGTAAAAACCGGTTCCTTACTGAATAATACATGTTTAAATATGCAGAATAAACTAGCTGAGTTGGAAAAGCCCATAAGCATTAGTTGGTTGAAGCCAAAACAGCGAACTTGGGATATGTTGGGTTGCACTTGTGGCAGGCCAATAATCAGCCCTGTCCCAATTAGAACAAATTGATTATCTTTGGCCTTGGATTATCCATTAGTAGTGTAAAAATCAATCAATCTAGGCATTATGACTATTCAATCAATTCACTCCCCCATAGCTTCTTTCATGGAATCGAAATTAAGGATTGAAGATTTACTCAAATAAGCGCTTTCTGAATAAGCGTCAGATTGAGACTAGTCTACAAACAACTAAAGTCGGACCTTTTCTAAGTAGGTATCTTAACAACTCCCTAAACAATTGATATCTGAGGCACCAAGACAATACAGCCATTACCCTAATTAATGTCGCAAGCCTATTTACGTATGTCCACTGCTAACTGATAAGAGCACTTGGACTTGGAGGCCTTGATAAACAATCACATGTACTCTTCAGAGCAAAAGCATTTAGCAATTCTCATTGTTTTCTGAAACTGGTATTAATAAAGGCACTTACCCTATGAACCAGTCCATGGTATCCCGCAGGTAGTCCGGTATGCGATCCAGTTTGGAGGCTTAGCAAAGCGAAGGAACAAAACAAAAATACAAAAATAATGATCGGGGTAAAGTAAACTGATACTGCAGCTCAGCTGATCGGTTGACTCGGCTGACTTTGCCTGGCACGGACCGAAGGCGGATTAAAACGGAAACTCGCGGTTAACAATAACGAGATTATTAAACAATATCACTTGGAGAAAACTGGTAGAAACAGGGAATTCGATGACAACTCATTATCAATCACGTAATAACCTCACCAAACACATAGACGACATTGTCAATGTGACATTAAATAGTGGCGCCCACTATCCAACTAGGAGGACATAATTAGAGCCTCTATCTGCCCCTTATCATAGACAAGGAGGCAGCTCTTCTTTTTTACTTGCGTCTACGAAACGGCCTTATACAATTTATCCATATGTAGTAAGCAATTTATCTTTTGTCCGCAGCTAAAAGTATATATTTTTAAAAACTTATCTTCCACATTAATAATGGTGCTGAAATACTAATTTTTAGAATGGCGTCGTTGGGTAGTGTAATGCATAGGTAACTGAAGAGTGCAGCTAATCTCAAACACCTTCACCTACATACGCTATTGTATAACCGATTGCCTACGTTCCAGCCTTCCAACCTCACTACCCTTCTGTTGTCGATCTATCAAAATCTGACATCCGCAAACACCAGTTTGTTGTCATTAAAATACAAAAAAATAGGCTGATTTGTTATTAACAATACCTTTAGCCCTTTAGCTAGTCACAGTGATTTTAGCCACGGCTATTCAACGTACTACTTATGGGTAAATTAGCGCTAGTGCCGTGTTGTGTTGTGTTGATAGAATAAAAGGGCAATTTGCAGGGAAGAATGAAGAGACTCTGAATTTATCCAATACGAGACTGAAGAAGCTGAACAAGTGCACCCCCAGCGAGAGCCAGATCACCGAACTGATCCTCGACGACAATGAACTGCAGAGGTTGGACAATATCGATTCTTTTTTGAAAGTCGAAAAGGTTAGTTTGGGTCACTTGGCACAAGACTAGCTGGGTGCTCCTTTATAAAATTCGAGCATCCTACTTTATGTCTTTAATTCTTTGAGTCTTCCTTAGTTCAAGTGTTAATATTTTGCAGTAACCCCTTAAAGAGAATGTTGTCAATTTTGAATCGTCATCTAGATTTTATCAAAGATTTTCTCTATTCACACACTAGAAGAAATTGATCGTTTCTTCCCTTCAATGTAGCTTTCTGCTTGCCGGAATCAATTGTTGCGCATGTATGGGGTGTGCAGGCTTCACAATCTTCATACGCTCAATCTGAGCAACAACGGCATTTTAACCATCGAAGGCTTGAAAGAGCTTACGGGGCTCAAGTGGCTGAACTTGGCAGGGAACAGCATTAAGGTGACTAATCATTGCAATTGGCGAAATTGTCCGTTAACCTCCGTGTCATTTTTCAGATCATTGAACACTTGAATACTAATATAAACTTGGAGTGTTTGGACTTGTCTGAGAATAGCGTTACGCATATAAGTGATCTGGCCTTTCTGAAAAGTCTTAAGGTAATGGCTTTGGTTTCTAATGCGCTGACTATTCGAAGGCACTATTTTTTCTCTTTTGAAACTTGCAGCAATTGTTTTTGCACAAGAATAAAATCAACCATCTGAGCCAATGCGACCGGTTTTTGCCTCCCAGTCTAACCACTCTTACTTTAGCTAACAATAACATTGCCGATTTGAATGAGATCTCCAGGTTGGCCCATTTGGGCAATTTATCCAAAATATCCATAGCTAACAACCCATGTGTTAATATGACCGGTGGGAATATGTATCCTTAACTAATATAATGTGTTGCATGTGAAAAAACTTTGAAATTTTGTATAAAATGCAACATTTAGTTTCCTTAATCAAGAGCTAGAGGCTTCGACTACCGTCCATTTGTAATTAATTGGTGCTTGAACGTTAATGTGATCGACGACTACGTGGTGGACGCGATAGAAAGGTAAGCAACCGTTCTAGAGGCGAATCTGAGTGGGATCAGTTCTAATTTCTGTACAGTTTGAGAGCCGAGTGGCTCTACTCTCAAGGCAGAGGGCGACATTTTCGCGTCGGTGACCAGAAGGAGCTGGTGCACTATTTGTCCACTGTATGCCCTTTGACTGGAGAAACTCTAGAAACAGAGGACGATCGGAAACTGAGACTCATTCTCAGCAAGGCGCAGCATCATCAGCAACAGCTGCGCGAGCAGTCCTCCAACTGTAAGTAAAGGATTACCGGCTGAGCACAAAGTACTTTTGAACTTGAATTTAACTGGATTTCATAAATCTAAAAAATATTTTTCCGATTTAAAACAATTCGCTCAGTTGTTTCTCAATTGCACCAACAAGAGGCTGGAACCATGTTTCTTTCGCTTATAGCCACTCCTCACGCCTCTCCATCCACAAGGAAAAGAATGCAGCAGGGCAAGAACTCATCTCGTCTTAACTGTAAGTACTCGGTGGTTTCTTTCGGATTGGCCAGTTAAGCAACTTCTTGCCAGCTTTGCGTGCGGCCAGCAAGCCGAAATCTCCCGATCGCATGGCGATGAGCTGCTACAACACTCTGAGCGGAAGCGGCGATAGCGAGACCAACTCTTTTATGAGCCAGAGCTTCGACGCAGCCATTCTAAGAAAGTCCAAAGAGATGTCTGAGTCGTTCAGCAACTCTATTATAAGTAAGTCGAAATAGCGTTTAGTCTGTTAAAGTTTGCGTCTATCTCTTTAGAGGTGAGATATTACTGATAAACGTAAAAAAGACAGCGAATTTCGACCGTTTGGCGTTAAGGGCAATTTTTAGAAGAAAATTCAATTCAATTTGTCTGAAAATTTTCTAAATATTGCAGACACTGAACCGATGATGAACAGTTCCATGCATGTGGCCCAGATGGTGCAGGTGCCCGAAGATCGAGAAAGTCTTGACTACCGGCCAAGCACTTTGATCGAGAAACTGGGCAAGCTGCAAAGTGCGCAACTCGTCCACAGTGCCCCGGCCAAGTTGACGCACTCGCCGAAGAGCAACCGCTTGACCACGTCACTGGCTCGATCTCAAAGCGGTCGCAATTGCGCCACACCATCTCCCCACCGCCAAAGAAAAATGCAGGACTCAATTAGGTAAGTTGCCAAGAGCCTCCTAGTTTCCTGCATGCATACGGCGGTCTTTTGCAGAAAAGAGCCGAATAGAAGAGGGTTGACTACGCGCACACGGTCGCCCAGCAGTGAGGACGAGTCGGAAATGTGCGCTTCAAAAGCGGATGAACGAAGGTGACTGGCAAGTACTGGAACTGTGGGGATTTTTATGGTTTTTTTTTCGATGTTTAGACTGCAAAGGAACACAGAGAACAGCAACAATGAAAAAGTACGACAGGCTGCCACTTGCATTCAGAAAATGTGGCGCGGATACTACACGAGGAACAAGGACAAGGATGTGCAGGAAATGTTCAAAGTGCTGCAGAATCAGCGCGCCTATGCATATATCCAGTAAGATTTTTGTCAACAAACTATAATATTCTTGTGTCCGAAACAAGAATTGAAAACGATCTTGTTTGATTAAAGACAGGGTTTTATATAAAATACGGTTTAGGAAACTGGCTACTGACATGGAAACCACCAAGGCAGCGCTGGAAAGCGAGAGGAAGATCCAGATGTTGCAGACAGAGGCCATAAGCGCCCTATGGAAAAAGGTGTCCTGTCTAGCCGGCGCTAATGGCGAAACAGCTACCAGCGCGTCCAGTATCAACATGACGGACTTAAACCAAGATAACTCGGACGTCGTCAAACAAGTGGCGCAAACTTGCTCGGTCCTCCAAAATCAGGTATGTACAATGGTACACAAGATGACTAAAAAATGACAACCTGTGTTCGAATACACAGAATATTGAAATTAAATATGTTCTCTCTTCTAACTCGTGCAGTTTTTGCGATATTTACCTCATTAATTTATGTTTATCCAAAATGAATGGCAGCAGCAAAAGAAGCTCCGATTGGCTAAATACTCCGTATAAAGTATTTGTCTTGCAGATTCAGCAGCTTCAGCATTCTATGCAGGACATTTTAAATGTGATGGCCGTTTTTAGTCAGAGTGCTGGTCTGAGCCATCAGCTCAAAGAGAACGGCATCGCCACTCAGACGGAAATCGTGGCCGTTCACACTCCACAGGTCAGTGACTACTCTGAGGGAACTAATCTAATTATTCAAATTATATTATAATATT